CACAATCCTCTTTAACCGTTCTTTTGTGACGGCTTCTTGAATGTGCTTTCTAAGGTTCATTTTGGAAGGGAGCTCTGCTTCTGTGATTCTCAGTTTTTATTTTTAAAAAGATTTTATTTGGCAGAGAGCACCAGCAGGGGGGAGGGGCAAAGGGAGAGGGAGAAGCAGACTCTCCAATGAGCAGGGGGCCTGATATGCAGCTTGATCCCAGGACCCAGAGACCATGACCCGAGCCGAAGGCAAAAAAGACAGATGCTTAACCGACTGAGCCACCCAGGCACCCCTGATTCTAAGTTTTTAGAAGGTATCAGGACAGGATTGGTTAAAGGACTAGTTCAGATGGGCCCTCACTGGCGGTTTCTAGATTCCCGCAGGGTATCAAACTGCTTGGGCGTGTTTTTGAAAAGAGGACACAGTAGGGCCAGGAAACCAGGGGGCGGGGGGGTGTTTTGGAAGGTAGGCAGGGGGACAGAACAGAAGCCAAGCTGGGTTGGGACCCGAAAGGAGAGCGTTGGCCCAGGTGCAGGCGAGGAGGCCAGAAGCTGGGAGATCTCGCCCTTCCTCTGCGTTCTGCTCTCTGCTTTGGGCTTCCTTGTCCTTCTCTGGCAGGAGTGGCTTCCTCCTCAATCTCATGTGGCATCTGCCGTGGGCTGAGGCTGGTTAACTGAGTGGTTTTCAGAAGATCAGAACTGGGAAGGCAGAATGTAGAGACCTTTACATTGTACCCCTTTATGGAGGCCCTTTTCCTTTTGCCCCTGAAAATGTGGCCCTGTGGCCTTTCCCCATGGCCTTGCCCGTCCTGGCCCGGCAGTAGGGCTTCAACAGCCCTTTGACGCAAGATTCAGCTATTCTCCTTGGACGAGTGTTCACTTTCGTTCTCCATGATGGTGGATGTGGCTGGTCCTAAATCCCGAACCTGCCACTCCTGGGGTGGACAGTTGCCGCCTTCTCCTGGGCTCCTTGACTCTCCCATGCACATGTGTTGTTTGGAGGTCACCCGCGAACCCTGCTTGGGTTGACATCCGGAGGTCACCCTGCAGCGCCCCCTTCTGTTGGGGATTTGTGCCCCCCCACTTTCCGGTTGCTCTGGCTCTCCCATCTCTGGCGTCCAGACCGCCCAGGCTGTCTGTCTGGGCTCCTGGGCCCCAGCTCCAGCCAGTGGTTCTGTGCAAATGACGCAAACCGAGCCTCTTGTAGGGCAGTTGCTTCCTTTCAGGGATGATTCCCTGCCAAGCCCTGCCTGTTCTTGGTCTCTCTCCAGTGCCTTCAAACTTATTTTTATGACTTCAAGTAACAGACTTCATGTTTTAGGGTTACAGAAAAGTTGGGAGGCAAGGACAGAGTTCCCATATACCCTTTACTGCCTCCACACCCCCATGCGCCCTCCCTCCGTACACACATGGTTTTCCCTCTTAGCATCTTGCATTAGGGGGGTGCTTTTGGGACGTTTGAGTCAATACTGATACGTTACACGTTAAGATTAATTAACATCCTAGTTGGTTTTTCAGTTCAGTCCTTGTACACTCTCTGCAAAGTTTTTTTTGTTTGTTTGTTTCATTTTGTTTGTTTGGGGTTTTTTTTGTTTGTTTGTTTTTTTAATAATCTTGCCCAGACTTCCTATTTATTGCTTGTCGGAGGCCTCGTCTGGTGGTACAGTTCCTCCAGCATTATTGGAGGCAGGATCACCTGATATTTATTTTTGATGCAAAATCAGTTTTGTGTGTGTGATCCTTTTTTTTCTTGGTGTCTGGAAACAGTTGGCAGAAACCTTGTAAACTAAAGGGCGCTCCTGAAGAAGGCGATGGCACAACGTCTAGCCAGTCCATGGTGGCTGTCAGGTCTCACGGCTGTTTAGTGTCGTGGGTCGCGCCCCAGGAGACCCTGTGCACTGAGCAGTCTATCCGTGTCTCTTGGAGTTAATCTCCTGAACCTGGAAACCAGAAAATGAATGTAATTTTGGGAGGTGCTAATCTAGTACCAGGGCTGAGGTCGTCTAGAAACTCACAAAAAATATCTGAAGTCCCTAGGGTTAACCTTTTTTGCAGCCACCTCCTGCTTATCTGGAAGATGAAGCCGCAGATAAGACCAACACAGGTGATCGCGTATCTTGATTGCCCGCTACAAATTACATCTTCCTTCTAGGCTCCCCCCCCTCCCCCCCCCCCCCCGATGCTCATGAACAAGAAGTAGGCCTGGATATTTTAAAAACCCCTTTATTCTCTTTTTAAGCTGAGTGGTAGGTGTTCTGAATAGCAGCCCTGTGAGATGCCCCCCAGCAGGGATTCCTACAGAATCTTAACCGAAGTCCTCCCCAGTGCCGGGTGGCTAAGCGCCGGCCGGCAGGAAGGGCTGATGTTACTTCACGTCCTGGTAATCCGGGAGCTGCGGTGCTGCCGAAAGAACGTCTGGCTTGGGTCCAGCTCAGGTGCTGACATGGAAATTAGGGGAGTTCCTGGAGTCACAGTGAGGGGATTGCACAGCCGGGAAGGCCGACGGGAGGAAGGGGGCACCAGTTAGAGGCCGGGGCTCAGGCCTCTCCTGCCCCTTCTTGGAGCGCGGGGGGGTGGGTGTGTTCCTTCTGGGAGGATTCCGGTCAGGTGGACGTGAGTCACCAGTGACAAGTAAGTCCTGTACGTGGCCATGTGTCGGTGCTCTGCAAGGGACCTGGGGGGCCTTGCGGGAGGCCTCTGTAGGAGGGCAGCGGGAGCCGTGCTGAGGGCGCTAGTGGGCCTCTTCATAGCAGTTGGCAGCGGGTGTGTGGGGGGTCTTAAGAGGGTGAAGCAAGCGGGTTTGCGCTGGAGAGTGCTCACTCTGACGCCTCGTGGGGAGCAGTTTGGAGGGGCTCTGGGGACAGTGGAGGGGACACTGCACAAATGAAGCCAGAAGGAAGGGTTCTGTGGGATGAGGTAGCAACAGTGTGGGAGGGGGAAGGGAGGAGCTCGTTCCAGGATGACCCCCCAGGTTTCAGGCTTGAATAACCCGACTAGTGGGTATTCTGGGGGCTGCTAATCAAGGTGGAGAAACCTAGGTGAGGAGCACAGTGCGGGGGCTGGGGAGGAGAAAGAACACGAGTTTCCCTTCTGGAGACGACTGCTTTGATTTTCAGGCATGGAGCCAGCCTGCCTCTGCTGTCACAGGAGCCTCGACACCCCGTGTCTTGCAGGAGAGGCAGATAAAGGGGATGTCATCTCTGAGCGAGAACCCATCATGGTGCGTCAGCCTTTGGCTAAAGGCAGGCTTTTGCCTGATGGCTACAGGAGGTGACAGAAGTGCGGATCTTGAAAGGTTGTTAGCTCAGCAGGTGGACGAGCTCCAGGCCTGGGAGCCAACTTTCCAAAGTAGCGTGGGAAGGCCCTGTCCCGTTCGCCCTAGAAATGATGGCGATTAAAAGGAAACCCAAGGTATGGTTCCACACCTTGTCACAAGCTAGAGAGTCACACTAACAATGTGAGTCACAACGCAGAACCACGGTACCAGGGGAGCAGGGGAGGGTCACAGAGCCCACTCCTTGGGGCAAAACTAGGCCGGAAATCAACACTGCTGTACGTGCAGGTATGGCTTCAGGACATCCATGTCAAGCATGAAGCATGAGCACCTCCACAACGGACTCCAGTCCATCAGGGTCTCGATCTTGAGACAGAGCGAGTGCAGGACCCAGTCCAAGCCCAGACCCACCCGCTCCAAATTTCAGAAAGAACCTTCCTTTCCTGTGACCACAGGAAATAGGGGATGACTGTCCTCTTAGCGTCTATCAATGCGGTCTTTGCTTAGGTAGACTTTTAAGTTATCTGGGGGCTGTTCATTCCTAGGACATCCCCCAGGCTATTTTCTGTCATTTGAATGTCAAAAGGGAAGGCGGACCCAATAGGTCAGTATGGCTGTGTGAGAAACAGGTTATCTCTTGCTTAAAAAATGTCCTCCCTCTTGACTTGTTTCTTCCTACTGAGGACGGATCTCAAGATATTTCTGTACTTCTGATCTGGCAATCCTACTCATCCAAGTCCAGCCTACAGAGTGCCTTGGATGAGCTCTGGGGTCTGTAGATGATGGGGTCATGGACTCAGTGTGGTTACTAGTGAGAGGGGAGTTGTCTGCCAGTCGGTGAGCCTTTGCAGGTAATGTGGCGACAAAAATGCCCAAGTTGTATTCAGAGTAAAAAAACAAAACAAAACAAAACCCAACATGCAGAACAATATGAAGAGTGTGCCTTTTTTACATAAAACAGATTCCTTTGTGTCTGTGAATGTATCTGTCCATCAGCACACACAGAGACGAATGTTAAACTATCAAGGGGAGTGGGGGGAGGGCTTTATTCTTTTGCTCTGTGTATTTCTGCTTTATTTGAATAGTGAACTGGGAGGAAGTATCCGTATATTAAACATTAACCTGAATGTCATTGGGTCTTAAAAATAACTCGAAAGTTTTAGATTAAAAAATTGTTTCAGAAGATTACATTTTTAAATAAAATATAATTAGGGTATTCCTTTCCTCCAGTTGGGAACTTAGTCAAGTGTCTGAGGTCTCTGTAACATTCAGGGCTAACTCACTGAAGTGCCATTCATTGAAAAAAAGCATATATTCCTCTTTTTTTGTGTGTGTGTGGGGGACTTTAATATAAGTAAAGCGTATTTGTGTAGGAGATTTATACCTTCTCTCGTTGGATCTTTCCCGAAATGCCATTTTACCAATGAGGCCGGGCAAAGTACCTCCCCCAAAGGCAGTGGTGGGAGGTTGATTCCAGCCTTTTTGGTTTAGGAGGCTGCTCGGTGGGACATTGGGATCTGTTTCACCTCTGATCAAGAGCAGGGTGGGAGAGGAAGCAGGGCTTTCTTGTTCAGGGGCTTTTTATATCTTTAGGAGTCATTCCCGAACAAGACACCCCTTTGGCTCTTTCCTCCTTTGCAAAATAGGGAGCTCAGCTGGATGTCCTTCTGCTAACATTCTGTGACCGGGGACCCTTGCTGTCCTCTTCTCACCGAGTGCTTGCTTCCTCCCTGCAGTACGTCGGAAGCCTGGATGTGCCGAGACCAAACAGCCGAGTGGAGATCGTGGCTGCCATGCGCCGGATCCGGGTGAGTGGCTGGAGAGGGGCTGTGAGGGGTCCGAGCCCCAGTGTCTTCACTGTCGGCCCTGTAGATGTGCTGGGGGAATCAGAGTGGACGGCTGCGCCCACTGCAAACCCCAGATCCCTCTCCCTCTACCCTCCAGGGAAGCCGTTCTGAGCTGGGTGGTTGATCTTGATTTAAAGGCCAAGGTTAAGATGGATGTGATGGCGGGAGGGGCGCTCTTCTCCCCCCCATCTCCTGGCCTGTTGCTTCTGGAACCGAGATGCACATACCTTGAGGATGTGTGGGGTCTCCTGGGGACTGAGCGAGAATGGCGAAGGATCTTTGTTTATTCAGATTTTAGGGAAAACGTTTGATAATTAGTTGTTAATTGGCTCAAGACATTTAAGAAGTGAAACGATTTATTGTGGTATATAAGAAGGTCGACTTGAATTTTTAAGGACAAATTGTGGGATTTCAGCAAAATTTCCGTGGTCAGTTGCTTTAGGCTTTGAAAATGTGTACATTCTCTTCTGGAATTTTGGGGATCTTCTAGCAGCATCTGGTAAACATTCTGGACTGTTGTTTTTTGACTCTGGTGCACAGAGCAGAGATTGAACAAGAATTAAGTTGTCTTCTGAGCACAGTGAAGGAATTTGTCCATCTGCTCTGCATTGAAATAGAAGCTACTTTAAAGTTGTACATTTCGAAGGGAGGATGGGGATTGGTTGAGTGGAATTGCAGGACTTCTTGGAGAAAGTGGGTATTGGAGGTGGTGGGATCAGTCATCTCGGATGCAGCCTGGTTTGGGCTCTTTGTCTCCAGAAGAATCTACTAGGTAAATAGAAAACCTATAGCAGATGTTGGGCACGTTAGTTGGCTTCCTGCCAGTTTTACTTCCTGCCAATTCATCCCATCCACAGAAATCTCAGCTCAATGACAGCAATTTGGGGAAGAAAATTAGTATGTTTGCTCCTGTTTCTCTGATTGGTTCATTAGCTTATTAAAATTACTGTTTTGGGGCACCTGGGTGTCTCAGTCGATGAGGCATCGGACTCTTGATCTCAACTCAAGTCTTGATCTCAGAGTCATGAGTTCAAGCTCCGTGTTGGGCTCCTTGCTGGGTGTGGAGCCTGCTTTACAAAAAGGAAGCGGACACGTGTTGTGATGAGTGTTGGGTGTTGTGTGTAGCTGATGAGTCATTGAATACTTCATCAAAAACTAACGTACTACACACAGTGGCTAACTGAATATAAAAAAAAAGTTAAGTGATAATAGTAAGTAATAATAATAATTAAAAAAATCAAAATAACCTTTTCACTGCCTTGATCCTCCCAGTCCTTCGGCATTTTTTTTTTAAGTTGAATTTGTTGAAACTATGAAAAACAGCAGTGCCCTTTCTCATGGATGTGGGAGTGAGTTGCTTCAAGCCCTTTCACATGGGTTCACTGCACATTCACAGCAAGCTGTGGTGTAGGGGTCTTGTTACCCTCGTTTTTTATGTTAAACTGAAGCTCGGAGGGGTGGTGAGGAGTCCCAGGGTCCGGGAAGTGGTGGGTGTGTGGCCTGAGTGCAGTTCCCCACTCGGTCTCAAGAGGCCACGTGAGATCCTTCGTCCCTGTGGCGTCAGGCTTGCCATTCAGTACGTCCCCAGGCCTCTCCTCTTTTCTTCCTCGGCCTTCCCACTCAGGTAGGGAGTGCAGCGGCCTTGGCTAGGGGGTGTCGGGTGGGGCTTCCCCATGCCAGGGGGCCTACTGCTCTCACCGGGCTTGGCACTGTTGCAGCCGTCAGGCCTGGACCTGGGGCTGGCCGTCCTTGGCGTTTCACCAAAAACGTCCCTCTTTCCTTCCTATTCAGCTAAGATACAGGAAATATGTTGAAAAAATACCCTTTTCATAATTAGAGTCGTATCTCTGTTAATATTAGCTGTCAGGAGTAATACTGTGTGTCAGGTGCTTCAATTGGCCTTTTAGGATAGAAATAACTTTTTAGCTATTATTTGCCACTACTCTAGACGAGATGAGGATGTTATCACGTGTTGTAGGTGAGGAAACAAGAGTTTTGGGGAGGCTCAATAAGTGGTTCTAGGTCAAGTTGCCGTCAGGAGGCGGAGCTGGGACTCGCATCCAGCGTGGCGCTGCCTCCTCTGTGGCCCGCCTCTTGGACGTGGGTTTGGGTGATGATGTGCCCAGTTGGTGAACCAAAGGGTTGGGATGTGGGACTTCCCTAGTGAGGGAGTCCACAGCAGAAACACCATTTCGTAGAAGGAACAGAGTGTACCTGTGTAGAAAACCTCTCCCCAAAGCTGGGGTGTCTGCTAGAACTGGTCACGCCTGGGAGGTGGGGACCCGCAGGGCTGGAGTGGCCCTGTCTCCTCTGCCCCGTCATCTGTTAGCCCGCGTGGCCGTGTGCCAGGAGCTCCCATCCCTGTGACCTGCTTCCAGTGCTTAATGAGCGAGCGGCTCATTCAGTTAGAGGGAGAACTACGTTGGCCAGAAAGCTGCTCAGTCTGGCTGGCCGGGCCCTTGTGTAGACAGAACGCTGCAGCAGCAAGCACTCTGGGTGTGTGTTTTACCCCAAAACCCCCAATTCACTGCTAGGTCCAGGCTGCTGTTTTCTCTGCCTCTCTCCCTTTCAAAAGAGTTGTTTTGGCTGTAATTACAGTCATCGAGAACCAAGGCCTGGGATTTCTGTGTAAAGGACTGTTCCTGACTTTCTTTGTATGTGGAATGGTGCCAAGGCAACGCTGGGCGGGACACTTCGGGGTTTAGGTGGCTGAACGCTCATGATGATTCGAAGACACAGGCCTCCCAGGGCAGAGGGCTGGTCCTCCAAGAAGCAGCCGTGAGAAGGATCGCGGTGTCTTCCATCTGGGGGCCTTGCCAAGCCTTTTATGTGCCCCTCTCCCTGATCTCTAGGGAGCTCTGCATGGGACAGGGGATGGGGCAGTGCAGATAGAGAGAAGCCCATGGAAGGGGGAGTGACTGGCCTGAGGGGGACCGCGTTCGGCCTTAGGCCTGGGGCTGCGGCAGGTGTATGGGCCCCTCCTTCCTCAGTTCCCCACTGCGGAGTTGACTACACTGAATATGGGTTCTTCTTCTTCTCTCCCCGCCCCCCATTTCTCATTTGTTCTCTGACTCTATAGATTTTCTTTTAAAATTCTTGTTACCTGTTCTGGATGTCCTTTTTTTTTTTTTTCCTCCTTTTGTAATGTGCTTTCAAGATTTTTAAACTGATGTTTAAACCATGTTTCAACGTAGAGTTCGGTAGTGTCATTCACGTCATGCCACGGATCTTTCTAAAACTTCTTCTTGTAAAACAAACTCTGTATGAAATGCCAGTTCCCTTTCCCTCTTCCCCCAGCCCTTGGCAACCACCTTTATACTCTGGTCTCTCTGATTTTGGCTGCTTAGATACCTCATAAATGGAATCCTACTGTATTTGTCATTTTGTGACTGGCTTGATTCATTTCGCATAATATCCTGGAGGTTCATCGGTGCTGTGGCATGTGACAGGATTTCCTTCCTTTATGAGACCGTGTAGTAGTCAATTGTATGTGTATAATTAACGCGTTTTCTTTATCCGTCCTTCTGTTGATGGACACGGGTCTCTTCTCCCTTTTGGCTGTTGCGAATAATGCCACAATGAGCAGGAACGTGCAAATATCTTTGAGATCCTGCTTCGAATTCTTTTGGATCTATACCCAGATGTGGGAGGGCTGCATCGTATGGCAATTCTATTTTTAATGTTTCATATTATCTTCCATAATGGTTGTATCATTTAAAATTCCCACCCATGGTACACAAGGGTTTCAAGATTTTTCTTTTTTGAATAATGTGTGCCTTCTTGGTGCTGGATCTTTAAATAGATGGGTTTCCTTTTCTGGAAGGGATATGTCGGGGTGGGAACCACTAAGCCCGGGGTCTCCGGGGGTGGGGGGTGTCAGGAGGCAGAGCATGCACTCGCGGTGGGTTACCAGGCTGCCTCCTGTCATAGAGCCTTCCTGGCTGAACTTGCCCGTGCCAGGGCCCGGGGGTTCCTTGTACCGCACTTCCGAGGACTGGGCTTGGGGTTCTGAACGGCTATAGCTTCAGTGTGACGCTGTCCTGGATATGCGGTGGCATGTATGTGGGTGACTTGTCAGGACTGAGCCGAGTGGACTGCTTGCTTGCGTCCTGCAGGTATTTCCTGAGCACCGTATGCTTTGTCAACGTCTGAATCTTCCTCTGGTGCTGGCATTTGGCCATGGACGAGATAAGCACACGAATAACTGAGTTATTAGGCGAGGGGCAAGAGGTTAGGAAGTGCGTAACTGGAGATCTAGCCCAGTCTGGGGAGATAGGGCAGCCGTGTGGGCTGCTGAGATGGAACCCGGGATTAGCAGCCGCTGCAGCCGGATGACCCCCACGCCCCCGCCCCCCGCCCAGCTGAGGATGTCATGGCTCAGGGAGGACTTGCAGCCTTGAGGGAACACGTCCCCTCACAGCTCCCTCCGGGCCCCAAGTGCCTCACTTCCTGCCTGACCATCACTGCAGACTCCGGGAGTTTTTCCTGAGTGACTTTGAGCAGAGTTCTTTAAATCCGGTCTGTCCCGCACTTAAGGGCCACGGAATCCTGGCACGTGCTTCGTTGTTTGGGGGGTACTGGGATTGCGTTGTTTGGTACATTTCTGTCCATTGGGTGTTCCCGAAGGGACAGTGAGGCCCACACAGGAGGAGGACCTGGGTCTTCAGACGCCCAGTACCTCCCACCGCTGTAGAGTGAGGCCTGGGGGAGGCCACTGTGTAGTGTTTGCTTTTTTGTTTTCTTTCATACCGCTTCTGGGAGTTTCCACTGATGGGGAATGAGGGTGAATTCTGGTTTGCTCGGGGGGTCCTTCTGAGTTGGAAGGAACTGCAGTCACGGGTAGCCGTGGTTTTGGGGTCTCTCACCGCCTTCTTTGTTTGCTCATTCAGGATGTGCCCCTTTGCCCAAAGCCGTGGGGACCCTGGTCTGTTCCCTCTGTGGTCTGTCCCCTCCATGGTCTG